TCCTGACAACGATTTACACAATCTCACCATTTTGGGGGCCAAACAATCTCCTTTTTCAAAAGATACCGTGGGGCACTTTTAATGCTGATGAGCTGGTCAAAAATTCTCACTTGAATTAGTGGTCTGCACCCCTCATCCCAGCTGACGGCCATCTTATCCTCTTATGAGCAAAATCTATCTTCTGAGGGCGCCCTGTATCGGCGGTGTCATTATTATTATTTTATGGCGGCTTAATACGGGCGATTCACAACAGTGCGCCACTAAGAGTTTGCAATGCGTTGGCAAATCATAATGCGCGAAATTTGTCGACCCTTTCCAAACGCGCATTGGGTCAACAAATTTCGCACACTGTGATTGGCCAACGCCTGCAAACTCTTGGTGGCGCCCTATTGTGAAACGGCCGTATTAAGGAGGACAAAAAGCAATTAACGTTTAGTTTAAACTTCATTGTGAAAAGACAGTTTCGGTGGCTTTGAATGGGCACCTGCCTATTCTGGGGCTTTCATTCGCGATTGTACATGAAGAACCCCCATGCACTGGTTACCAGCAGAAATCCGAATGACTAATCTTGGGATTTCGCAAATGTTCTGGCAAAGTGTTACGGCTACTCCAAAGATGGTGTTGCTTCATCATACCGTTTTCATGCCTAGCAACGAGGGAAAAATGGAATGGTCAGTACTTCTGAGAAAAGGCAGGTACATTTTGGCAGTAATTAAGTTCGGAAAGGGACATACTTGACCAAGTAATGAATTGCTTTTTGCCGTGCCTTTTTGTAACTCGAATACCAATACTAAACTGATGGCCAATGCGGCGCGGATTAACTATATAAAAATGACAACATTAAGTTTCAGTCAAATCAGAATTAAATGTAACGTGGGTTACCTTGGGAAAAAAATGAATGAATTGTGCGCCGTGATACAGAGGTGTATGCGGCTTTTGCGGCAAGAATGGGGTAAGACCAAAAGCTTTACTGATCCGACATGAATTGGATTCTCCATGTCAATTTCTGTTGTTCAAATTCTAACAGCTGCAGTGAGTATTGTTTGTTTTGAACTTCTTTCATCATTTTCGTGATAGTATTTTTGGCAGACCTGTCAGCCGGTGATGGATTAACAATTCACAAAGGAGCAGCGGTTGCCACGCATTTAAGAAGGGGGTCACCCAAGGAGACTTATCCAACATACAAGTGGGACATATTTTTGCAGTTGAAAGAAAACGAAAATTGTAATTAGGACAAATGAAAACGTATTGTCATCAAAAGAAGGAGGTGAGTGCCGCCCGACTGTGTCAGCCCTGGATCTGTTACTGTCGAGCCATCATGAATAAACATTATAAATATGCCACTGCTTTTATGTTGAGATCACCTATATATAAGAATGGACCCGTGCGCGGTTGGAATCAATCTTTGTTTTCGAAGAAATTAGGACATTAATGAAAAAGAATCATCATCAAAGATTTCTCTTTTTAAAGAGTTATCCAACCCAAATTTCGTAAGCATCTATTTAGGACACTAGCTGATAATAATCTCCTTGTTTCAAAGTGTAACTGCAATGAATTTTTGAGACACATTTTTTCTGCAACTTACTCATCTTCTTGAATGTATGAAAACCTTTTTACGTTCCTACTTGGTTAAATGCATTGCAAAGAGGACTTTTAAAAACACAAAAATATGATCTATGTTTTACTGGACAAACGAGGGCGCTGTTGCTGTGAAAAGGCGTAGTTGAGTGCAGTGAGAGATTTTTCTATTTATGAACCCA